TGAGAAATTTTCAAAATTGCATAACTTCTTCATTTCTTAACCATTTTTGACCAACTTTATACGGAAATGAAGCTCTTGAGGAGAAGAACAATATTATACCTTCAAAAGTCCAAAAAGTGGACAGAAGTGACCTGAAAATAGCTCGAAAGGTTTGGCCAAAAACTCAACTCCTTGAACTCGCTAGTTTTGATGTCAACTCGACTCCAAACTTAGTCTAAGGACTTCAGTGGGTTGTGTAGAAGCTTCCCCACATTCTAAAAACTTCTGACTCAGCCTAAAACTCGTCGGAGGAAAACTCACCGAGTCAAACCTTCCGATTTGGCGAGTCAAAACTTGTCCGTTTCATGATCTGAGGGTACAGCTGTGATTGTGAGTTCAAGGGGAGTTTAATGGTAGTGTTTTGGGAGTCGATCTAGGGAGTTTGGACATTGAACTTGCTAGTTGCAGAGAGAAAAGAGGTTTCGGTGAGAGAGATAGAAAAGGAAAAAAGAGAGATAGAGTGAATATAGTTTCTGATTGGGGGAAAGAGAGTATGATCATATTTAATTGGATGAGAGGGAAGGTTCTGATTGGTGAAGAAGGAATTAGGGAAAAGGAGTGAAGGTAAGGGTTTAAGGGAAAACAAATTTGATTGGTGGGACAATTGGGAGATACGGATCCACTTTTGAGGATAAGGGATTGGATTTCAGATTTTGTAAAATTTTAAATGTACACAATCTGTATCCTTAACAGTGTTTCTGATACTGTAAATTTGTACGTGTGTGTACAATATACCTGTGGTTAACGTACTTTAATGGAGCGTAACTTTTTCGTTACAGATCCAATTTGGGTCTAACTCGCGCCCACGCATTCGTAACAACGAGTACCATTTAATGACGATGGCAAGAAGAACAATTTAAAGCTGTATAATCACATCCACATCACTTTGCCAACAAGGGCATAAATGTTAGTTTACACACTCGGGGAGAATTTACATAGGAAATTAGGGATGGGTTGTCACAATACATATCAGAATACATACTAGTATAGATTTATAAATGTATGGAAGATAAAGTTTCTTTGAACTATTTTCATGGATGATAGGTATATTAATTTTTAATTATTTTCGTAAATACCTTTATCACAAGTTAAATATATATTTTCAAACTATGGTCTAGGTATCATGTATGATCACCATCTTACCACATCTTATTCATTATTGGTATTGTACATAATTAAAACTGTCATGCTCAGATCCCGATATATGTTCAGGATCGACACGTGATGCTCAGGTGTAAGGTGCGAGGAATACAAATAAGTTACATGCTCCCCTACCAATGCATTTTTACATCCCGTAGCTTAGGTAGATCGCTTAGCCTCATTCATCTTTGGCGCAAGAGCACTCGACCAGTGAACCATTACGCACTCTTTTAAGGGTGGCTGTTTCTAGGCAAACCTCCTGACTGTCTCAAATACTAGTAATAAAATTCACAATATTTACACCAAAAGTAAGGTGGTGGGGTCTCTGCCACAATATACAACAAAAACAACTAACCCTCACCAAGGTGAGATGCTTGTAGGCTCCCAAAAAGAAAGTCTAAAAAAGTACAAGGAAAGATATAAGGTTAACCTAAACACTTCAAGCTCTCTGACCTCTGACTGTTACCCCAAAAGCTTCTCGTATCTACTAACACCTGCCACCTACACATAGTTCCTTACACTGTGGGAATGGTGTACTAGCCAAAGAAATAACCCAGAAGTTGTGAAGCTCATGTAAGTGACAATAATCCAACATATGTGATAATCATAAAAAAAATCCATCGATCACAGTTTATAAACAACATTAGTAAAATCATAACAATTTGCTAGAAATCCCGAAAGTGTCACCTAGACATCCATTGACTTTTTGCAAATCAACCACAAAGGTTCTCAAATTTCTAATTCATAAATACACTAAAAACTAGGGTAGAGTGATACAGTTTGACCGAAGCCTACAGCTCTTAAGCTTTCACATTCTAGATCGACTCCAATAAACCAACGGGAACAAGGGATGGGATTCCAGACCACTCAACTGAACTGAATAGGATGAGGGATTCCAAATCACTTAACAAAATTCAACAATACAAGGTTCTAGACTAGTCAATGGATCCGAGAGAAAACGAGATTTTAGACCATTCAACGAAATCGAAACAGAACAAATCTACAAACCACTCAACGAAATTGCAAAGAAAGAAGAATTCCAAACCACTAAATGAAATCTAGACGAAGCAAGGTACCAGACCATTCAATGGAACCTCAGCAGAACTTGATTTCAGACCACTCAACAGAATCGAGTAGAATTCTAGAAACGTAGGATGGCTAAATGAAGTAAGACATGACACAAATTTGAAGCAACAACTCCCTATAACAATGCGTTAACAGTCATTTACTGGGCCTCACTTTTTTCAAACATTTCAAATATGCACTTCAAATTACATTTTAAAATAGATTGATGACAAAATTTAAAAGCAACAATTTACCAGAAAACATATTTTATACATCCATGACATATGCACTAAGTATACTAGCATGGGAATTTCAGAGTAAAACCGATGTCACATATATTAAAGTCACTCACCTGAAATTCGCGTTATCGCAGCACAAAGATCGAGGTGTTAACGTATAATCACCACCTAGAACAAATCACAAGTCTCGTCTCAAAACTTTAGTAGTAAAACACATAATCCTAGCTTGTATATGTCTTTTACAACATTCTAGATGGATCTGGGACACGTTAACCAAAAGTCAACCCTTCGTCAAAGGTTAACATAGGGTCAACAACTCTACATGATTTAATCCGGAAGATCTACACATGAGATTTCTGATCCATAATTCCTAAGGGCCTCATTAAACTTCCACAACAACATATTAAATTTTTAGGATGATCCAACTATCAAATCTCCACCAATCACAAGTTTAATTGGCGTCCAACCACAAAACTAGCTAAAGCAATAGAATTACGCTAAACAGATGCCAAAAATGGATTCAAAACATTGAATTAGCCAATAAAAACATTTTTGGTCGTCGGCCACAAGCCCTCACACACAAGGCTTAGATTGATTGGAATATTCTGTTGCCAAGACAAAATATTTCATCAAAATTAACGGAATAATGACGTCATACTTGACGGTGTTAAGGAATATTTCAAAAAGTTAACGGAATATTCCTCTTCATTCTTCCTTACTCTGGCCGTCGTCATCGCCTATTATCGATCTTGCTGGATTTTGGGGATTTTCACTGGAAAACTGAGAAAATTTCAAATGCTTCGTTCTTTGTCATCTCCACCAAGTCACACAAATAATATATGACAATTTGTCTACTAGTCATAAGGAATCGATCTAGTGTAGGTCTTACCTTGGCTGGAATCGGTGAGAAATTCTCATCAAAACGAAGGTCTTTGAAACTAGCGTCTAGGCACTACATTTCAAGAAACCAAAGTCGAATTCTCGTTTCTACTATTTAGGGTTGACAAAAGGGATTTGATGGTGATTTGGTGAGTGTTTGCTCCCTAGAAAATTTGAAGATGATGGTGTTGTCGCTCGGGAAAGGAAGAGGAAGACAGAGTTCAAGAAAGGTGTGAAAGAGTCCAGTGAGGCTGAGAGAGAAAAGAGAGATGAGAGATCCAAAAACTAGGAGTGGGCCCCACACGGCACACACCAAGGGCAGAAAAGGATAAGAAACATGTGTTCAAATAATGATCAAATTACCAAAAAGCCCTCGACTTCCAAAGCTTGTAGAATCTTCATCCTAGCTCCAAATTCCATTCCGCTTGCATCCACGCATTCGTATTGACATGTACTATATAAATATGCCAAGAAATGAGGCAAAACATGAAAGGATCTAAAACATCCACATAAAACTCCGCGTAGCCCAACACGGTTATTTTCTTCCTTTTGCAAAATCCAAAAAATTTCTACACCGAAACTATGAACACGTTGTAACAACTATGAATACGGAATATGGAATTTAAATAATGAAATCCATGGATGGGATTTCACAAGAACAGTTTCACATAAAACTTTACCATACGTTGTGACATTGCGTTTCACTTGCTAAACACTTTTAAAGCTATAATATATCAACCGATTAACTACTTTATTGTACATCTTATTATTCTTTTTTTTATCTTTTTTTTTTTTTTTTTTGTCGGAGTACATATGATTATTCTCAAAGTACAAAAGAAGCAATTTGATATGAGCTATAACAATACCAAACTAACCAAAAGTCAATCAAATTCATTTCATTACAAGTAGCATTACTACTCTAAGAGAACTCAGAGAAACGGGAGGGTTCGAACCAGAAGTGCTATATGTTGATGAGACAGTAATATTCTCCAGAACAATTCGCCAGTTGCAAGTCCATCAATTTTGTAGGCCAATAAGGAAAAGGAGACAATATCCTCTTCATTACCACAATAGGAAAAGGATGATAATAGTCACAAGAAACACAAATTCAGTAAAAATTTCCTGATGATTCCTACGGTCAACTAGTGTGCAAACAAAATTAACGCCCAAATATTTATATTGAAGTTATGAATGGTAATTTCCATTACATTCCGAAACACCAATTCATCTTGGAGTTATGAATGGTAACCGTATTACAAGTTATCTTAGTGATTTGGATGCAATAGAAATTACACTTTTGGTTGAGTAGTAGTGCAAGTGTGAGAAATATTTGCCCCCTGCCCTTGAGGTACTGCTTGCCTCCAAACTAGAAGATGGAAGTCACGTGAAGCTTTGCAACTACAAGAGCTTATCTAAATCGTCCCCACGTGAGGTAACAAACTGCAGGATGGCTCGTGACGTGTCCTCAGTCGGTCAACCAAAAAAGGAGGGAATGCATAACGGCTTTGCGTGAAAGGCTTACAGTTACAGAGAAGCAGAAATAGACGACTGACCATCTGATAACCTTTGAGAAGAAGCAATTCTTTTATTTTTTTTGTATTTTATTTTTCTGGGTCGTCCACGTTGCCAAACCAGCTAGCTACCTTCAACCTTCAACCTTCAACCTTCAACAACAAGATGGAGGATAGAAGAATACAGTCTCGTAATTCATCCATGCCTCTGGTGTCTAGGTTGGATCATTTGGATTTTATTGTAAGTTTAATCAACTTTTCTGCACTCCTTAATTACAATTTAAAATTTGGGTTTCAAATTAATTTTAAATATTTGGGTGTGAATTTAGATGAAGTATTTGGAAAGAAACCAAAAATTAGGAAAATTGGGCAGCAAGAAGGGATCGAGGAGTGGTGCAAGACTGAAGCGCCAATGCCTGCCAATGGATTTGGCGATGAAGGAGACTTACTTCAAAGGGTCACTGTTGAATCGAGTGACAGCTCTTGAGCATAAGTTTCTTCAGGTTAAATTTATTTACTTTATTAATTGCTCGTTTCAGATATATGATATGAATTCTCTTAATCTTGCCAATTTGCATGCAGTCAATTTACTTTCCCGACTTTGTTCTCCAACCTCTTTAGCCAAGAAATGATCACCAACTTTAATTTGATAAACTTTTTAGGCCGGTCTCGCTATTACTTGAAATTTTGAAGTGAACTTCCCACACATATGCTATATGTTATATGTTAAATTATGTTATATTTTTTATATGAGACTTTATTCTCTAATATGAACAACCCATATTGATGTGTTATATAATTGCAATTGCTGGCACAATATATGAATTAATATTTACATTTTTTGTTGATAATAAAGATAATACTGCAGCTTGATCATCAAATTACATATTTCTACAATTGTGTATTAGCAGAGAAACTTTCATTAGCATGGATAGAAAATTCGGGATACATGCCACACTAGCAGTTGGAAATCCAACATCGGGAGTTTGACAACAGAATTTACGACTTATAATTATATGATTTATTTCTAATTACACTGAGATTTTTTAAGATAAAATCTTACACCTCTTGACTATAAATAATTAAGTTGGGAATAATAGTGGTATTAGACCATTTGGTTCATCTATTAGAAATCTTGAAACTCACAGTGTCATTTTATATTCTATTTATTTATTTTATTTTATTTAATATCAAGGGGATGGCTGCTCTTGATTTAAATTTTTTTTTTTTACCTAAGAAAACCTACTACCTGCAGCATGATGTTTTTAATTAGATATATAACACAAAAAATTGTTTGTATACAGACAATAATATAAATATACAACTACAAAATCACTTGTAGTTACCTAGCAAAAATTGATTTCTCTTTTCAATTGATCTACTATATTATTGACGAACACAATAATTTCCTGGTTTCATTTTCCTCTACTTGAGAAAGAATATTAAATTATTTTATTTTTCCTATTGACCTGTACTTGTGGTGCTTCATTCAGCTCTGCTTAGAGATGGAATTCAGTAGCTCATCATCATGCACTTCAACACAAACATCTGGGGATACCTACTGGAGCCATACATCCAAGGGCGAATCATCTCTCTCGCTCCCAGCTTTTACCACCAACCCACTTCAGATTCACAATGAAAGACTATCCCAAGTCCATTCCTCTAGGCTTGAAATTGAGGTAATTATCAATTAGTTAAAACTTCCAAAGAGTCTCTACAATATCAAATTGTTGGATAAATATCAACAATTAATGATAAATTTATATATGCTAATAAATAATAAATGCAAATAAATATTTAGGCAAAGTACAAATAAAACAAAATTAATAATAATCAAAGAAACTGAAGATCGAGGTTTGCGCATTGCAACGTCCTTGAAACAGAATTTCGTTCCTACTCTGTGCTTGTAGTTCGATGGACGTTTGCTTCACGAGGATTCAATGATCTAAGTTGAGATTCTAGCACCAGAAAACTAGACTTCTGGCGAATATCTTTGTGGTACTCTCAGTATGTTTTGTATGTATGGATTGATGATTTTCAGTGAGATGAGATGTATAGATTGATAATTAATCTTTTTCATTTTTCAATAGACTCATCTTTTCAGATAAAGTCTGAGTGCATTTGAGAACATATGAAAAAAGTATGAGAAAAAGATGGAGCAACACACCCTTTATGTTGAATAGTTGCCTCCCAAAAATATGTATGTTGAGAACAGGCACATGATTCCTGTAAATACATGCATCTGCATATCATTCATTTCATTGAAAATCATCAATCCATACATTCATAACATATTGAGAGTACCACAAAGATATTTGCCAAAAGTCTAGTTTTCCGATGCTGGAATCTCAACTTAGATCGTTAAATCCTGGTGAAGCAGATGTCCATCGAACTACAAGTACAGAGTAGGGACAAAATTCTAGTTCAAGGACATTGCGGTACGCAAACCTCGTTCTTCAATTTCTCTGATTAATATTAATTTCGTTTTATTTATGCTCTGCCTGAATATTTATTTGCATTTATTATTTATTAGCATATATAAATTTATCATTAATTGTTGATATTTATCCAACACAAATTATATCTACGTCGACATATTTGCTTTTTAAAAATGTGCAGTTAACCGCATTGTAGAAAAAATCCTAGTAAATAAATCATAGATTCAGACTTATTATTTATGGTGAACACACCACAAATTGAGAAACCTTAGAAAGTATCATAATAAGAAGCAGGCTTTCCCTGGAAATTTTTGCCTTATGTCATCAAACTCCTATTTTGGTTGGATTTTGGAAATTCGAAAGCTTATATGTTTTGTTCTTTCCCTTTTAGCAGTTTACAAAAGCTGATGTAGTTATGCGTATGCCCATATCATGTGGTTGGTTTATTGTGGATGCTGACAACACATACATGCATACTAATACATATACATATATATGTGTGTGTGTGTGTGTATGTATACATACATATATACCTATATATGTTATGCTGTGCAAATCCCAAACCCTATATATTCCATAAGGCCTTGTGGAAATCCATCTTTTGCCAATATTCACGAATGAAGCTTTCTATGATCACACTTATATAAAGTTTCAATTTTGTTTCAGTGAATTTACCTCAATCTGTATATATTCCACTTCTATTTGACTACTTTTCAGTTCTATATATGTTCAGTGTAGAATATTCATCATTAAGTGGCAATGGGACCTGGGATAATGTTTGGCCTGTTTGCATGCAGGAAAACCCTGATAGAGAACTTCTAAAACAGAAACCTTTGAGTACCTGTCCTGCTCAGCAGCAGCAACTAATTAGGAAGAAGAATAGGACCAATAAGGATGAAAAGTCTAGCAAAAATGGCAAGAAGAAAATCTCTTCCAGTTGGCCATCCTGGAAATTATTAGGCTGCAGCGAGTCCACTATTTCTTTAAGCTCTCCACTTTTTGGATATTAGAAGTTTGCTCCTCTAACCCTCTTTCTTTTTCTTCCTTCTATTTTTTATTTTTTCCATTTTTTCGTTGGAAATTTGAGCACGGGATGGAATGGTTTTTAATCTTATAATCACTCTTTTAATCATTCCCTGTTTTATAGTTTTCCCATTTGCAGCTGCCATGAAAGTACCATAAATCAGTACTTCAATATTCATTTATATAACTCAAGTGCTTAAAAACGGGAAGAGATCCCCTCCGGATCTCTCCCATCAAAGCCCATCAATCAATTAATCCGAGTCCTTGAAATTTGATCAAACGATTAAAATTATTATAACTTTTAAAAGAGCTCATTGTTTGTACCTGTTGGATCAAATTTCAAAAATCTGAATTAATTAATTGGTGGGTTTTGGTGGGAGAGAACTGAAGGGAATCTCTTCCCCTTAAAAACATTCACCTTTATATTTTGATAATGACAGGGTCAGCCTTGGCCTAATGCCAGCCCTGACCTAGTGCCAACCGGGTGACCATACTTGGGTACTCACTGGGGAGTACCCAATATACTAACTTTGTTATGTGAAGCAATTAAAAAACGACTTGTGTCCATTTTAATTCTTAAGAACTCAACTAAAAGTCTAAAATTGATAGCCAAACATTCACTATTCTAGTATCCAAACACCCCTCTTCTCCCTCGTTCTTAGCCTTCCATATCCAGCGAACGACGCTCACCCACTGCGTCTCTTCTACGGTGACCCCACCCCACTATGTCTCTTCTCTGTTTACTCACCCTCAATCCTATCTCCTCTGACCCACCCCACCACATCTCTTCTCCGATGACTCACCCTCAATCCTCTCTTTCCTGATGACCCACCCTCACTCTATCTCTTCTCCGGCGAACACCCCTAATTAAAACCGACAAAACTTTTGTCGGATTTAACCGACAAAGAATTTAGTAATAAGAATAAATAAAAACATTCATTTCGGATAAAACCGATAGAAAATATATTAATAATAAAAAAATATTTATATCAACCGATAATTCAAGTCCTTCAGAATCTTCGAAAACCTCAACATGCTTATTCTTCTTTGACACCTGCTTGACAGCCATTGTCTTCCTCTTCCGCGGCTGTTTCTTCTTTGGATTGTAATTGCAATCCGATCCGTACCCACTGAAGTAAAAGGTTTCATTTTCTGGACTGAAGGTTGTTGGAAATTCAAATCAAAACAGGTTGTAAAATGTTGCTGCTAGCTGTTTGTTTCTTTCCAGCTACAAAGAACAAAGTCTCCTCCATGTGCTAGCCGAAAGGTGTTGAAAGACAGCAAGGAATGATGCAGAGCATGTGTGTAAAAGTGTCTAGCAGCTGGTGCATATGTGAAAGGGTGTAAAGATGGTAATCACCATCTGTTGCTGCATGTGTGTGTGCTGTCATTTGATGGTGTAAAGGTGTAGGTTGTGTAGTATTTAAGGAAGCCTCTCGTAAGGCTTTAGATATAAATCCCAATCCCATTTTCTGATTGTATTCTCTCAGCTTCATAAGCTTGTAAGCTTCTGTCCTTTTTCATCAGTTTGTAAACTGCCCTTTATTTCATATATCAAGAAAGTGTGTTTTAGTGGAAGCTTGTTATTTCCTATCCCTTCTCCATTTGTTAGTCCAATTTTATTGAGAGTGAAAGTGAGAGGTGTGATAGAGTTTGTAAACTTATCACCCACATATTTTTGGTATTGAGTTAGTAAACTCTTGTCAATACCAACAATTGGTATCAGAGCCAGAATACCATTCTGGCAAGTGCAGTAGCTATGGCGTCCAATTTAGTGCAACTCCAAGTTCCCACATTGAAGAAAGAAAATTATGAAAGATGGTGCATCCAATTCAAAGCATTGTTTGGATCACAGGAGCTATGGGAAGTTGTCAGTAGTGGGTATGTTGTACCCATTGCCGAGTAAGAAGCCGTATATACTGCGGATCAAAGGAACACTCTTAAGGACTTACGAAAGAAGGACCAAAAGGCGTTGTATCTTCTATACCAGGGTTTGGAAGATTCAACGTTCGAGAAGGTTGCAGAAGCAACAACGAGCAAGCAAGTATGGGATACACTCAGTACAATCTACAAAGGAGTAGATCGAGTCAAGAAAGTGAGGTTACAGTCACTTCGAGCAGATTTTGAAACTGCTCACATGAATGAAGGGGAGAGCATCTCCGACTATCACTCAAGGCTCATTGTGATAGTAAATCAGATGAGGAGAAATGGCGAGAGACTCGATGAAGTACGAGTTGTGGAGAAGATACTCCGGTCACTCACATCTAAGTTTGAGCATGTGGTGACTGCCATTGAGGAATCCAAGGATTTGGAGGTGATGAGCGCAGAGGAGCTACTAGGATCCCTCCTAGTTCACGAGCAATGCATTCAGAAGAATGCAAACCCCACAACACTAGAGCAAGCTTTGGAGTCAAAGTTGAATATTGACAAACCAAATGGAGGTCGTGGGCAGTGGAACTCACGTCGTGGGAGTTCATCTAACCGTAGCCGAGGACGAGCTCGAGGAAGAGGTCGAGGCTATGCACAAAATCGAGGTCAGTCTCAAGAGTGGAGATTTACTCGAGGAAATGCGCATATCCAATGTCACAATTGCAAGCAATATGGACATTATGCCAATGAATGTTCACATAAAAATGGTGAGCATGTCAACATGGCAGAATCAAGTGGAAATACTGATGAAGAACTTACAGTCTTGCTAGCACACCATGATTCCAGTAGCCAACAAGATGTTTGGTATTTGGACTCTGGTGCAAGCAATCACATGTGTGGAAAGAAGGAGTTTTTTGCCGAACTAAAAGATGGGGCCTATGGATCTGTAAGTCTTGGTGACTCCTCAAAGTTGCCAGTTGAAGGCAAAGGGAAGATCAAGATCATCCAGAAGGATGGTAAAGAAGAATACATCTCCGATACCTACTATATACCAGGTATGAAGAGCAACATTCTAAGCATTGGTCAACTGCTCCAAAAAGGGTACATTATACATATGGAGAACATGCTTCTCACTCTCAGGAATGCAAGGAGAAAGCTTATTGCACGTGTTCGAATGTCAAAGAACCGGATGTTTCCGTTGAATTTGAACACAAAGATTGGAAGCTGCAACATCGGTGTAATGGAAGATGAGTCATGGAAATGGCATCTTTGATTTGGCCATCTTCATTTCAATGGCCTAAAGTTGCTGTCAAGTGGAGGAATGGTTCGTGGTCTACCCCAAATTGAAGCCACACGCCAAGTATGTGAAGGTTGTGTGCTTGGCAAGCAAGCACGACTATCGTTCCCTGTTGGTGATACATGGAGAGCAAAGGCACCACTGCAGTTGGTGCACACAGATATATGTGGTCCATTGGATCCCATGTCTTATGGAGGTAATAGGTATTTTATTACCTTCATTGATGATTTCAGTAGAAAGACTTGGGTCTATTTTCTCAAGGAGAAGTCAGCTGCCCTAAAATTTTTCAAGGAGTTCAAGGCACTCACAGAGGCTGAAAGTAACCACAAGCTTGTGGCTGTGAGATCAGATAGAGGTGGAGAGTACACCTCCAATGCTTTCCAAGCATATTGCAAGGAGCAAGGAATTAGGCATCAACTTACTGCTGCCTATACCCCACAGCAAAATGGGATAGCCGAAAGAAAGAATCGAACCATCCTTGACATGACAAGGTCCATGCTTAAGGAGAAGAATTTGCCAAAAGAGTTATGGGCAGAAGCTGTAGCTTGTTCGATTTATTTGTTGAATCGATGTCCAACAAAGAGTGTCAAGAGAATGACACCACAAGAAGCTTGGAGTGGATACAAGCCGAATGTTACACACCTAAGAATTTTTGGATGTGTTGCATATGCTCAAGTTCCAGAAGCCAAGAGGAGGAAGCTCGATGATCGAGGTGAAAAGTGTGTGTTTGTGGGCTATAGTGAAGAGTCCAAAGCTTACAAACTCTACAACCCACTAACTAGCAAACTAGTGGTTAGTAGAGATGTCATCTTCAGTGAAGAAGAGACATGGAAGTGGAACAACAAAGAAGTCAATAAGGAGAGGGTTGTTCCCACAAACTTTGAAGAACAAGAAGTTGTACCACTAGTCGAGCTGCAACCTACTCAAATAGGCACAATAACTCCAGTGCACAGAAATGCAAGGAGTGGTCCTACATCCAGTGAGGAAGGCAGTTCATCAACTCCAGTAAGGTTAAGGAGTCTCACTGAGATCTATGGACAAGAAGAGGGAGAAGAAACAAATCTTTTCTGCCTATATGCTGATCATGAACCTCTATCATTCAATGAAGCTGTGGAGGAGGATCATTGGAAGAAAGCCATGGAAGAAGAAATCCATGCCATCGAGAAGAATGACACCTGGAAGTTGACAAAACTTCCACCAAATCAGAAGGCTATAGGTGTCAAATGGGTGTACAAGATCAAACGCATTGCAGATGGAAGTGTGGATCGGTACAAATCAAGGCTTGTAGCAAAGGGCTACAAACAGAAGTATGGAGTGGACTATGATGAAGTCTATGCTCCAGTTGCGAGACTTGACACGGTAAGATTGCTAATCTCTCTTGCCGCACATCATAAATGGAAAATTTATCAACTAGATGTCAAGTCAGCCTTCCTTAATGGAGTACTTGAGGAAGAAGTGTACATGGAACAATCGGAAGGCTTCCAAGTACAAGGAGAAGAAGATAAGGTGTATCGTTTGAAGAAGGCTTTGTACGGCCTCAAGCAAGCACCACGAGCTTGGAACTCAAGGATCGACAACTACCTTCACCAAAATGGATTTCAGAAATGTCCATACGAGCATTCAGTTTACATGAAGAATGGTGAAAAAGGGGAGTTCTTAATTATTTGTCTCTATGTAGATGATTTATTGTTTACAGGAAACAATGAGGCAATGTTCCATGAGTTCAAGCAATCAATGTTCAGTGAGTTCGAGATGATTGACAATGGATTAATGTCATACTTTCTTGGCATAGAAGTGAAGCAAGAAAGTGATGGTATCTACATCTCTCAACAAAGGTACATTAGAGACATATTGAAGAAGTTCAATAT